ATGTTTATTCATATACACTTGTTTCTATTTTTGCTAATATTTCATTGGTTTTCAAAAACGTGCTTTAGGGGGTCTTCCTGAGGAATCCTACTACATATAATCCGCTAAGTGTGTCTGTGTGTATGTTTGTGTGTGTGTGTCACGAAATTTAACGCCGGTCCCAGCAGCAGTGAAGCGTTGATTCCAGGAAGTGATGGAGGGGGTGTGACGGGAACACCATTGGTGGGTGACAGGGTGTGATATCAGTTGATAAGATTCGATAAGAGGCGTTAGAAGGCGGAGGTCACCATATTCATAACGCGGGTGACAGCATCAGCTAGCTCTTGATTCCGAGATATAATATAGGGTATGGGCCAAGAACTTTATTGGTGGGTGACAGGAAGTGATATCAGCTGATAAGATTCGATAAGAGGCGTTAGAAGGCGGAGGTCACCATATTCATAACGCGGGTGACAGCATCAGCTAGCTCTTGATTCCGAGGGTATTAATATTAGGGGTATGGCCAACAACTTTATTGGTGGGTGGCAGGAAGTTATATCAGCTGATAAGATTCGATAAGGGGCATTAGAAAGGTGAGGTTATCGTATTCATAGCGCAGGTCACAGCATCGGCGAGGCATGCGTTTCAGCAAGTGATAGAGAGGGTGAGATGGGGACATCAACCGCGGGTGACCGGAAGCGATAACTACTGATAGGGGCTGATAAGAGCAATTGCAGTCGTCGTCGCTGTTCGAGGTGATTCACGCGACCAATTCTTAGAGATTTGGCGATGAGGACATTGATGACGGGTGACAGGTAATCTTATCAATCGATAAAAACGGATAAGATACCATCAGCGCACATCTTCATCCGCTCTTACCGCTTTAATTTCAAGTGTTAGAGGCTCAGTATGTCAACTCTTTCCTTTAGCCCTTCTCTTTCCTGATAACACTAGCAAATGAACTCATCCTACTATCCTACTATATATAATCCGCTAAGTGTGTCTGTGTGTGTGTGTGTGTGTGTGTGTGTGTGTGTGTGTGTCACGAAATTCATAACACCTGTCCCAGTAGCAGTGAAGCGTTGATTCCAGGAAGTGATGGAGGGGGTGTGACGGGAACACCATTGGTGGGTGACAGGGTGTGATATCAGTTGATAAGATTCGATAAGAGGCGTTAGAAGGCGGAGGTCACCATATTCATAACGCGGGTGACAGCATCAGCTAGCTCTTGATTCCGAGATATGATATAGGGTATGGGCCAAGAACTTTATTGGTGGGTGACAGGAAGTGATATCAGCTGATAAGATTCGATAAGAGGCGTTAGAAGGCGGAGGTCACCATATTCATAACGCCGGTGACAGCATCAGCTAGCTCTTGATTCCGAGATATAATATAGGGTATGGGCCAAGAACTTTATTGGTGGGTGACAGGAAGTGATATCAGCTGATTAGATTCGATAAGAGGCGTTAGAAGGCGGAGGTCACCATATTCATAACGCGGGTGACAGCATCAGCTAGCTCTTGATTCCGAGATATAATATAGGGTATGGGCCAACAACTTTATTGGTGGGTGGCAGAAGTTATCATCAGCTGATAAGACTTCAGATCAAGGCACTAAGAATTTGCAGGTTATCGAATCATAGCGCAGGTCACAGCAATGGCGAGGCATTGACGTTTCAGCAAGTGATTTAGGAGAGGTGGAAGATGGGATATAACCGCAGGGTGACGGAAGCGATAACTACTGATAGGGGCTGATAAGAGCAATTGCAGTCGTCGCTGTTCGAGGTGATTCACGCGACCAATTCTTAGAGATTTGGCGATGAGGACATTGATGACGGGTGACAGGTAATCTTATCAATCGATAAAAACGGATAAGATACCATCAGCGCACATCTTCATCCGCTCTTACCGCTTTAATTTCAAGTGTTAGAGGCTCAGTATGTCAACTCTTTTCTTCGATGTATCGGAATCAAGGTCGTCCATTGAAGTGTTGGTACTAGATACTAGGAAAATGTTGCCGCGAGCGGGTGGGGCGGGGGGTATGTAGTGCGCCTGAAACGGGAAAATCGAGAAATTCAGTTATCAAAAAAGAATTCGGAATTCTTTCTGCTATGTGATGTTGTGATGTGTTAGGTGTTAGCGGTTGCAACTGGAGCAAAATAAGCAGTGTACCCAACAATTAGGCGTGGGGACCTCCTGTCGGCACGCACATGTACAAGCAATGTGAAGTTCTTCTTTTCAGTGCCACTCATGAACCTACAGTTATGCCTCTTCCGGTTGTTATGGGCTCATGCGGACTAATCGGGCAAATTACAAATTACTAATTTTACCCATTTCCGATCGCAGCTGCGGTCTTTAGTGATTGGTGCAGCCTTCTCACGGCTGAAAGTCTTTAGTAAGCATAAGTAACCAAATGTTGGTAGATAGTGACTGATCTTGAGCTTTTTCAACTCAATTTTCTGGAGTTTAATAAAAAATGACTGCCACCGTTTGGTACATTTATCGCATTCTAAATCGCCCAAGGGAAAGGTGCCTGGCGAAGCCAGCCAGCATCGGCGAAGCCGAAGTATAGTATGAAAGGAGCGAGAATCCGGCGTCAGCCGGGCGATCTACTCTGGTTGTAGAATACAGAGGGGATCACCTACGCCATATTCCTGGGCCTGTCTGCGGCCATGACCTCACCATAACTGATGCGCTACTTTCTTCTGGGGACCCAAAAATTTTCAATCGGTGCTTGAATAAATGATGGGATTTCCATCTTGACGGGCGCCCCACCAAATTCACAACGAAACAAATTAAAACACCATACTTTATTCCAAAAAGTATATGGTTTTACTGGTTGCGTATCAAGGCATCCTTCTGCAAGCTGTGAAGGGGTTGAGAGTTCTCCAGAAGGAATGTGTGAAAGAGGTGGAGGAGCTGCCAGAAGAATCTGTGATTTTTAGAGGAAGAATGGGCGTCAGAGGTGAAGGGGAATCTGTGAGGGGTGTGAGAACAATTTCAGAAGCATGGCGGTTGAGTGAGCTGCACGCATAGTCCCGTGGCAAATATCGCCAATAGGTTGATAACCAGTGAGTATTTCGAAGTTGTGCTCCGAAACGGAGTAGATGTCGGGAAAGAAGCAGGTGAGAGTGCTTGGACAGAACTGGTGTAGATCGACCACGTGGAATAGTACTGTAGAAGCCATTCATCGTAAACTGAATTTTTGCCGCGGGTAGAGCAGCACAAGCGTGTAGGGATGGAGACAAGGCCCGTTGCTGTAATAACTTTAGAGCATGCTTGAGCAACTACAAACACTGACGAGGTGTGTTAATGTTGTTCTCATCAGCTATATAAATAAAGTCTCGGAAGGCATTTAAATTGAGTGTGAGCTTAGCAAACAACAGGTAAGAGTCCGTAAGAGAGATAGTGTGTAAAAGATCATAGTCTGAGAATTCCTTCGCCTTGGACGGCCGTAAGATATATGGGGGTCATCTGACAGCACAAATTTCTGAAAATTTTGGTTTTTTCAAAGTGAACATTTATCCTTACTCTAATATTTATAGAGGTGAGAAATCACTTATTTCCACCTATCAGCTCCTCTTACTGGATGAATTCTAGTCTATTTATTCCTTTTCATTGAGCAGCCAGTGAAGGTCAGCAGTTTTACGCCGCATCAGTTAAGTCGAGCGTCATGCGCAGCAGCACTCAGGAGCGATGCTAGTGATCCATCGTTCTTAATCAGTATTATCTATAACATTCACAGCTACACGCTCCAGCTAAAGTTCGGCGTTACCCCAACGAGTTTACAAGCACGAGAGGCTTTTGTGCGAACATGCAATTCTTTTACTAGGCTGGCAAGAAAGTGGTCAATTTGCGGAAAAGAAAAATGTAAGAAAGTTTGAAAATATACAGTGCTGCCAACATGGAACGAGTTCTTCAAAGTCAATGAAGCTAGACAGCATTCTACAGTCGATAAACCTCTTCGGTCTCAATTTTTGAAATGCATGTCATCTACAAAGAGGCTCCAATACCTTGAAAAATGGATAATTTGGAGAAAACCATCCAGTGAGTAAGGTGGAGGAATGAGAATCTCAAGTATAGATGGCGCGAATCTGTTGACAGTATTTGTAAAAGTGTGCCCAAAATCGTTCCCCATCGATTCTCCTAGAAGACTTACTTTTGCACAAGATGGAGACTGAATATACAACACAGTGAGAATAACTTATGTTGGTCAAAGTTTTTCCCACCAACCTAGCAATAGCATACGCAATGCACATGGTCTTTAATTCGCTATTCTCGGCATTTTCTAATTGCTTCTAAACGAATTTTAAGGTATCGTCCTGGACTAGATCTTGTTGTAAAGTCTCTTAGTGCTAGAATTGGACCGCACGAGAAGATTGGAATAGTTGGTAGAACAGGCGCTGGTAAGACAGGCGAGATTTGCTGCTCCTCTTAGCAGTCACTACTCTATTTTGCAGGGAAATCATCTGTAACGCTTGCGCTATTTCGAGTGATAGAGCCTTGTGAAGGCCGAATTGTCATCGACGGCATAGATATAGCGAAATTAGGTTTACATGATCTGAGGAGGCACTTGACAATCATACCACAAGATCCCGTTCTCTTCTCGGGAACTCTTCGGTAGGCCCTTTCGTATGCCATATACCCACTGATTAAGTGTAATCTCGCTTTCAGTTTCAATCTTGATCCATTTGGTAGCCATTCGGACAGCGAAATATGGAACGCTCTTGAAATGGCAAACCTGAAGCCTTTCGCTCTAGAACAACACGGTCAACTGGACTGCATAATTACGGAAGGTGGTGAAAACATCAGGTAACTTGTCGAAATATAGCGGGTCTTCAGTTCCCTGTAGTAAAAAAAGTAGTTGAAGTGTGGGCCAAAGGCAATTAGTGTGTCTGGCTCGTGCACTGCTGCGGAAAACACGTGTTCTCGTACTGGATGAGGCGACCGCAGCTGTCGATATGGGCACAGATGCTCTTATTCAGCGTACGATTCGGAGAGAGTTCTCAGACAGCACCGTTCTGACAATTGCTCACAGACTTAATACTATAATGGATTATGACAGGTTCGTGTGGTTGCCACTTCCTATTTAAAAGTGAGAGCTGAAAAGCCATTGACAATGTTATCAAACATTAGATGACATAATGTGCTTGGTAGTACCTTCGTAGCCAGATCAGTGGATAAAATCTTCAGTTCGCATTTATTTGGCCTTATCTTTCGATCGGCGGAGGTGGTGTAGTGACAAGTGGCGCGCTTACCACTCGCGCGGCGCCGGGTTCAAATCCCGGGTCGACTCCCGCCCAGGCCAACCAAGCCTTCTACCCTCCGGGGACGGTAAATTGGTACCAGATTCGTCTGGGAGGATAAAACACTGACTTGTACATCGGCTGGCCACCGCAAGTCATTGTATAGGCCACATCGCATTCAATAAGCCACTACGATTCTGAATGGAAGTAGAATGCGTGCCGCATCCCACAAAGGGATTGATCAACGGCGAAGACTTTATCCCCTGTCATCTTCGATCACTGCCATTTTTCAGTCTGCCTTTTGCTGGAAGCTCTGAATGAAGCCATAATGCTGCCAGACATTTTTGGAAGAATGCAATGTGAACAATCGCAGCTGGCACTGTTTACCCTTTACTGCCCACTCGCATTCGTTAAGTCTCTCCGGAGACTTCCTGACCGCGCGCCCACATGCGCCGGTGGTTCGGATAATTTAGCGCCAGCGCCTGCAGCGTGGGCGCCAAGAGGTTTCGGGCTGAGCGGATGTGATATTCGTGTTTAGGATGTCAGACTACCCCTGGGAACACGTTTTCAGCAAATTTGGTGATTTAGTGTATTTTGACGCTGGCGCGCGGAATATTGATTTTTCTTCAGAATTTTCACATTTTTAGGCTGTGACAAGCGGCTCCGGACACTAATGGAAGCTCCGCCCACTTTGTAGAAGCCCCGCCCACTTTTCAAAAATGATGCAGCTCGGCGAGCTAGTGACCGTACTAGCAGGTTATGGCCTCTCCCGTCACCCGGAACAAAGTTTCCCTTTTTTTTTCTGGTCTTATGACTTTTTTTTATTCTATGTGACGGGAGAGAGCCATAACCTGCTAGTACGGTCACTAGCTCGCCGAGCTGCATCATTTTTGAAAAGTGGGCGGGGCTTCTACAAAGTGGGCGGAGCTTCCATTAGTGGGCGGGGCCGCTTGTCACAGCCTAAAAAGTGAAAATTCTGGCAAGCTCTCAGCGAATTTGGCAACCTACGGTACTCTGACGCTGGCACCTCTGGCGCTGGCGCCGGAGTGTTCCGTGCCGCACTGATGTGATATTAGTGGTCAGGAGGTCAATTTAGGGGAGAAATATTTAACCAAGTTTGCTCTCGGAGAATAGTGTCAGTCAAGAACTGGCCCAATTCCGGATTGGGGCAGTGAAGGGTGAATAGTGCTGGATTTCCGGACAGGGGCAGTGAAGGGTGAATAGTGCTGGATTTCCGGACAGACAGACAGACAGACAGACAGACAGACAGACGTTGCCGTTTACATACAGGGGGGCCAAAAAAAAGTCATTTTGCCTCCATGACTTTCAAGGCGCTATAAGTTACACTTTATTAAATTTTTATCGGACATTTTTACTACCATATTAAA